GGAAACAGCGAGATAAATCTTACTTGAATATGCTCCTTGGACTTGAATTGAGACCAATTTTTCGTCGGCCGCCAAATGCTCACATGACATTGTGTCACTTCATCTCTCGCTTCCCAAATTTCCTTCCCACCTTCCTTCCTCTCAACCATAACAGAACTCAAAATGCCCTCATCAACGAACGCCCAACCAACACCCCTCCCAAGATACATCTACAAAATCCTCCCCTCGTCCCCCGAACCACCCTCCCCTCTCCCCGCAAACCTCCCGCTCTCCGCCCTCGACCGCCGCGACGGCTTCCTGCACTTTAGCACAAGCGCCCAAATCCTCGGCACGTTACAAAACTTCTTCTCATCCGAAACCCGTATTTTCATCTTACGCGTTCCATTTGAGGGGGTAAAGAAGTTTGTCGAATGGGAAGATGCTAAGGGGAAGGGACCGGATGAGAAAGGTGGGTGTTGGGATGTTGAGGGGAGGAAGGGATTGTTTCCGCATGTTTACGGAAATGGAGTAGATGGTGAGGAGGCGGGGCTGAGATTGGGGAAGGGAGAAGTTGATGAGGTTGGGAGATGGGAACGTGGTGGGGAGAGATGGGGAAAGGAGGGGTGGCCGTTTGGGGAGGATGAGCCGAGGGAGTGAGGTGATTGATGGCGGTCTTTGGAGTCGGTTGCCCATGATGGACCGGACCGCCCCAGATGTGAGAGTGTGGGTTGCTGGTGGCTAGAGGGTCAGAAGAACTTGTGTTGACCTCGATGTCAATTGGAAGTCATAAAGGTGACGACGGTCACGTGAAGTCAAATCTTGCAGGTGATCAACAATTGTTCCGCGGGCTTGAGACTTGGAACTTGGAACTTGAGATGTATATCATGGGATCCAGCTCTGGCTGGGCTTTGTCGGCGAACAAGGCAGTGGAGGTAGTCTTCTCCTTTATATAGCTTGACAAAGTCAAGTTTTCCCAGAGCAAGCTTTCTCCCCACCCCCCTTAAAGCACAAGCGAGGCATTTGTTCTTCTCTTTCATCCTTCTCCTTATTTTTTGATTGTTATTTTCTTGTAGATGTCCTGTTTGGCAATACCTTGTGTCTCCTTTTCTACTTAAGAAGCGCCTTTCTCCGTTTTGACTTTGTGCGCTTGAACTTCGCATGGAAAAATGAAGATATTCCTATATCCCACCCCGTCCCCCGGAAGTTTCCTGGATCGCGTGACTAAGTACAGTCTCGCTAGGTGATGCTACCGGAATATATCTACGACATCTCGTCGCCGACAACTCTTTACCTTCTACAACCTTTCTCAACTCCGGTCTTGGTCCGTCCAGCAACTCGAAGATACTTGCCTGAGACGACGTCTATCTTCCAGAGTCTTACCCCTTGACAATACTCGTATTTCCAACAGACAACATGAGGCAATCTACGATTCTCGACTTCTTCGAAAATGACCCGCAATATTCTACTTCTAGCGATGATGACGCGGACAGCGATCTGGCGGCCAGCGACAGGATAGACAGCGATGAAGTCGATAGCGACGAGGTAGACAGCGACGAGGTGGAGAGCGAAGATGAAGCGGACAGCGACGAGGCGGACAGTGACGGGGCAGGTATCTCACATTCTCTATTCCTTTCACTCCTTGTTTTGAAAGTTCCGAATAACCCAAGACTTCTGGAACACTCTCCTTCCCGAATTTCTTGAACTAGGAATGCTAACTCCAAGCTAAGCCCAGGAAGCCAAGATGTTTACCCCTTTTCCCAGACTCCCTATTGAGCTTCGACTCAAGGTTTGGAAGTATGCTTGCTTTAAGCCTCGACTCATTGATCTTTGGTTCGTCCCTGTGGCCGACAAGCGTGATTCGTTCAAATTTGACGAATTCCAACAACCATTCATCTACGAAAGCCATTGCCGTCAGGCACCTGCAGTCTTACACACCAGCCAAGAGGCCCGCAATGTTGGACTCCAGCACTATTCGCTCGAATTCGGCAGCAAGTTTGAGGGACAGGTCATATTTCCCATGTCAGGCTTTGAAAATTTCCTCATGGCTAGAGGAACTATCGAAGTCTCAATGCCACCGCAGATCTATGTCAACTGGGCATGTGATATCATCTGTCCAATGCCCGCCCTTCGATCAGGCTCACTTGATGAGCATTTCCGTGAAGAGGTGTACGACGACATCAGCTTCTGGAGCAATCTCTGGCACAATTTCCCCGAATTACGAAAGATTGCGGTCGCTTCACATCAATGGGAGAGTGCGGAGATCTTCTTCTACGAACACGACTTCGAAGAGCTTATTCTCTACAAGCACCCTGAAGTCCTCAAGACACTCTACACCAAGAATATCGATACTCAAAAGCCTATCCGATTAGAGTTCTCTGCTCTCGGGGACGCCGCGGACTACGACTCCGAGAAGGTTCTCAATGCAAAGAGATATCTCACGACGAATGTCGAAGACTCTCAAAAACACCCAGAAGATGCGCCAAACCCCAACTCACCAATGTTTTCAGAGGGATGGAAGTGTCCCATCATCACGCCGTCGGTTCTGAAGGTTTCTTTCCCAAGAGTCGAGGCATCCTAAGAAGCAACATGTTATGAATGTCCGACAGGGACTGGGAAAATAGGGAAACCGAAACTTCAGCATATTCAGCATGGCTTTTAGCATGAAATTCATATCATAGATCCGCATTGTCCGGTATGGGGGTGGGACATTGAGGGTCTGAAATTTCTAGCGTTGCATTCTAGCATAGATCGGTACATTATCACAATATGGCAACCAGTCATTTCCATATCCTACAATGCATGGGACATTGATAGATACCGATGGCTCTCTTTGAATTCATTCCATTCCTTTCCTGCTAACGCTCGAAAATGGTTCAGAAGATTGACGTGCATGCTTGACAGGAGTTCCATCTGGCACATGTCCTTATCTACTAGAATAAGAGTTCTGGTGTTGCAAATTCTCAACAAACAGCACAAACGAGGACAAAGAAACAAGATTGGAGAGTAATGTTCCGAGCGAGATCCGCGCCAGTCCGCACGGTTGTAGATATCTTTGTAGGAGTTGGTAGATTACTCCTCTCAGGCCGCTAGCAAGATTGTGCGCTTACTACCATTTGGCAAGGGCAAGAAGATCAACACTCCGTAGCCCTCCTACACCTTGCCGTTTTGTGGTGTGTAAAATGAAGCAAATATAGCACACCAACTTGATACTCGCATTATAAAAATTACCAAATGCCAACCAAAATAGACTTCCTACTTCCGACCATCCTCCAAGCCAGTCTTAGTAAATTTGATTTGTGTTACATGCCCTTAGCGATATCGATCCCTCCAATTTCGCTTCCTCACTCGTAGGCCCATAGGCTTGACTAGCGGAGCATGCCAGAAGGGGTGTTTCTGGCCACACTGTTTGAAAGCGGACGGAGCCAATTCACAGCACTGACCACCTCTGTATGTTCAAATGCACTTTCATTCAGACTGCTGAGTACGAATTCAAGAAACTCGGTGGGGTCGAATTCGGATCGGATTAAGATTGATGTTCTGTCATGGAGTTAAAGTTCGATCGACGTCGAGAGTTGACGTCCAAAGACGATTAACGTCACGTGACTGGGACCCACTTAAAAGTTTCCCAGCAGCCTCATCTCCCCAACCCAACACCTCTTCGACCACATTCGCATTCTGCAAAAAATGGCAGAACCACCGTACAAACGCGCGCGCCGCCCAGACAGCAAGCAAATGTGGGATGAGTCCGAACGCCGCGCACCAATACCCACCCGCGAGCGCGAAGAGCCCAGAGATCGAGACCGAGACAGGCGCGATGATTATGAAAAACGGGATCATCGCAACCGAGATCGTGACCACAGATATAGGAGCAGATCACCGCGCGACTCGAGAGGCGGGCGCGAAAGAGATAGGGATCGTGGTGGGAGAGACAGAGGCAGAGACGAGAGAGATGGGAGGGGAAGTGGGAGAGGTAGAGATGATAAAGATGGTGAGTACTCCGCGCCTGGCGTGGATATTATGTTGGCGTTCAGAGGCAAGTCTAATGCTTTGCAAGATGGTGGACGGTATGGGCGTGGTGGGAGAAGAGATGAGGGACGGGGTGGCAGGGATAGGGATTCTGAGAGAGGTGAGTACGCCACTGGGTATTCTATTGCTTTGGCTTTCAGAGGAAGGTCTAATGCTTCTCAAGACGGTGGACGAGATATGAGGGATAAGCCGAGAGATAGGTCGAGGTCGGGAGACAGGGTGAGGGATTCGAAGAGAGATACTAGGAGTAGGAGTCCGAGAAAGGAGAGGGAACGAGATGTCAAGAGTGGCAGAGAGCCGGAGAAGGAAACGCCGAAGCCGAAAGTGGAGGAGGAGTTTACGAAGGATAGGACTGCTACGCCGCCTGTGAGCTTCAAGGTTGGTGGACAGGACCATGACCGAATGGATATTGACGGAGCACAACCCAAGAAAGGCGCGAAGTCCAAGAAAAAGGAAGTGGAGGAGGAACCAGAGGAAGACGATGAGATTGTGGTTGAGGACGACGGCATGGCTGCTATGCAGGCAATGATGGGCTTTGGTGGTTTCGGGACTACACATCAGAAGAAGGTCGAGGGAAATAATGTTGGCGCTGTCAGAAAGGAGAAGAGAACCGAGTACAGACAGTACATGAACCGTGTTGGAGGATTCAATAGGCCACTGAGTCCAAGTAGGGATTAAGAAGGGATGTCTGCCTTGTGGCTTCCTAGGGGCACCTACTGCACTCACCCTGTATGTATCCGTATTGTGGATCTTTTGTAGTGTTGAGCCATTCATCAGCAGGAAATCAACACTAAGCGCTCTGCATCTGGCCTGAAAAAGAAAAAGGTACCCACAGAAGCAAGAATACCAACTACAAAAGCAGACTCCCTATGTATTCGTCTAACGGCTTTGTGAATGACACGACGAGAGTCATGGGACTACTGCGGATGATCGCTTGCGTTGACCACAACCTTATAGATTTAAATAAGCACTTTCCCAGCATCGAACAACAAAAAGGTCCTATAGTGTAGTGGTCTAGCACGTCGGATTCTGACTGTAGTCAACAGGTGTTCCGGAGACTCCAGTTCAAACCTGGATAGGACCTCGAACCAAGCTGGCTATCTTTATGATTTTTTTTAAGCCTTGTTATTCATTTTTTGACATTTTGAGGATAGGGACTTGTATCAAGAGCCAAGGAACTTAGGTTAACGGAACAACTTCGGGTTTTCTTAAACTATCATATGAGAGGGAGCGATTGCAAGCAGTTGCAATGTTAAGGCAAGTCTTGGCGAGTCGTAGCCTTGCGAACGCGTATGCTGGGCAATCTTCACTTTTGCACAACATAGTCATAAAACTTGAACAAGGCGAAGATTTCATTTGAGCGAGCGAAGCTTTAGTCACCCCTTTACGCAGTATTACGTTTTGACCAGATTGCAATCATCAATCCATAACCTCTAACGGCTGCCGGCCAGCCTTTCCACCAGCCTTGCGCCACAGGCTGAACTCGCGTAACCGCAACGGTGTCTTCAAGCCCTACCCCAACTTTTTGTAACTCACCCCTCTTAAAAAGCAACAACGTCCTTCCGAGCTCCCTCTTCATTCCTGGAGCTCTGGAAAGCCATTCTCTTCATCATTGAAGCGCCATGCAGCTCCTCACCCCTTTGTCGCTGCTGACAGCAGCTCTGGTCGCTGCTTCGTCGGGCGCGGCTGATACCACCGACTCCGCGATTTTGTATAAAGAGGTTGCGAGAAATACGAACCAGAGCTTATTATGGGGTCCATATCGACCCAATTTGTATTTTGGGGTTAGGCCGAGGATTCCTAAGAGCTTGGTGGGTGGTTTGATGTGGTCGAAAGTAGACAATTTTCAAGATGTGCAGAGTAGTAAGTGGCCTCGTCATCTGGGAATTTGGACAGAGATGTACTGGTATTTCTTGTGCAGATGCTAATTGAAGTCGCAGACATGAGACATACCTGCGAGCAAGGCGATGGCATGCGAGGGTATGGTTGGGACGAGTACGATGCGCGGACTGGTGGGAAGCAGACCATTTACGACGAGGGCAATGGAATCGACATCACAACTACATTCGTTAAGATCCCTGGTGGAAGTAACGGCGGTAGTTGGGCCACAAGAGTAAGAGGCACTGCGAGAAAAGATTCGCCGCCAGATTTGAAAACTACCGTCATATTCTACGCCTCTTTGGAGGGACTGGGAAGCCTCGAGGTCGAGAACGAAGAGGATACTGGATACGAAGCCGATGTGACCTTGAAGGGAGACTCCCAAGGTCTTGGAGAGTACAAGTTGACTGTCACTGGAGGAAGAGGATACCATCCGAAGCCAATGCATCCTGCGGACGATGAGAAGCCACTTGACAGGACCCTGGTGAACTCCATTACGGTCCCAGAACAAGCTATCTGGCAGGCAAAGCCAATCTTGTTCAAGATGTTGAAAGATCAAATCGATCAATACTTGGAAAAGTACGGCGAGGAGAATGCCCCACCACCATGGCAGACATACACCATCATTAACAAACCAGGTCCTGGCAACATGCACATGATCCAGAAAGTGTTCGAGGGAAACTTCGAATTTGACATCATCTTCAATAGTGGCTCGGCTGGAAAGGTATACACGAGCCAAGACGTAACAAGCTTGATTGAGAAGTCGAATAAGGCATTCTGGGAAAGGTTCATTGCCACGTTTGATCTTCAGCCTCCTTTCGCCATTGAATCACTACAGCGATTTTCGAGCAATTTGTTCTCTAACCTCATTGGTGGCCTGGGGTATTTCTACGGTGATTCCGTTGTTGACAGATCATACGCACCAGAATACGATGAGGAGAACGAAGGATTTCACACTGAGACTGCTGAAGCAAGAGGCCGAAAGCAGGAGAAGCTCGAAGGTCCTACTGAGCTTTACACCACTGTTCCTTCGCGGTCGTTCTTCCCTCGAGGATTCCTCTGGGACGAAGGTTTCCATCTGATGCCAATCGTGGACTGGGACATGGACCTTGCACTCGAGATCGTCAAGTCTTGGTTCAGCTTGATCGATGATGATGGCTGGATTGGACGTGAACAAATCCTCGGCGCAGAAGCACGCAGCAAGGTGCCACAGGAGTTCCAAGTCCAGTATCCCCACTACGCAAATCCTCCCACCCTATTCTTCATCATCGATTCCTTCATCTCCAAGCTCGGTGCTTTGAACGGCACAACAGGAGGTGACAAGACCAACACAGAGAGCCTCGGAGCCAAGCCAAACTCAGTCCATCTCCGCAGCCCAGAGCTCGGCCTTCAATACCTCACAGAGCTTTACCCCAAGCTCAAGAAGCACTACTACTGGTTCCGCAAAACCCAATTCGGCGACCTCAAATCCTACGACCGCGATGCCTTCTCCACCAAAGAAGCCTACCGCTGGCGCGGACGCTCAGAACGCCACATCCTGACCTCCGGTCTAGACGACTACCCCCGTCCCCAACCACCCCACCCAGGAGAGCTACACGTTGATCTCATCTCCTGGATGGGCATGATGACCAAATCACTCAAGAATATTGCCTCACTCCTCAAATACGAAGACGACGTCAAAGAACTGACAACCATCGAGACCGCTATCCTCCGTAACATCGATGATCTGCACTGGAGCGAGAAAGAGAAATGCTACTGCGATGCCACAATCGATGATTTCGAGGAGAATTTACTTGTTTGTCATAAAGGCTATATCTCCCTCTTCCCGTTCTTGACTGGACTTGTTGATCCGAAGAGTGAGAAGTTGGGTCATATACTGAAGCTTTTGGGTGATGAGAATGAGCTTTGGTCTGAGTTTGGGATTAGGAGTTTGAGTAAGAGTGATCCATTCTATGGTACTGATGAGAATTACTGGCGCGGCCCTATCTGGATGAATATGAATTATCTCGCTCTCGTCCAACTCTTGGTACGTCCCCTTCCCTTTCCCATCCCTTTTCCCCTTCACCCTCGATGAAGCTAACGTCTCAATCAGAAATACGCCCAAACTCCCGGCCCCCACCAATCAACAGCTAAAGACCTCTACACCCGCCTCCGCCTCAACCTCATCAAGACCGTCTTTGACAGCTGGCAAGAAACAGGCTTCGCATGGGAGCAATATAACCCGGAGACCGGGAAAGGACAACGAACGCAGCATTTCACCGGGTGGACGAGTCTTGTTGTGAAGATTATGGGGATGCCGGATTTGAGTGAGGGGAAGTATGGGGTGCAGGGGCATGATGAGTTGTGATTGGGAGAACGGAGGTGTATTTGTATGTATATAACAATACAGGGAGCTAAGAAAAGTTTGAATGATACGTTGGTTCTTGGAATATGAAATAGAAGACATGTGTTTCATACCGTACCCCTTCTTGACCTACTTTGCGTCTCAAGTGCTCGTGACCTTCTTACTTTACTTCAACGGTGCAAGACTATCGGGAAACGTGAATGGAGGAGAGAAGAAAAGCTAGCATGATTAGAATTTGAACTCAAATCAGGGTGTATGGGGTCAGAATGAATGAAACTATGTCGCTACCACGTTTTGATCGAGAAATTTAAATCTTACCTTACCCATTTCAGAAAAAATGTTAGTGATGGTGAAGGCAGGAGACCTCTCCGGTTTAGATTATTTATCTGGAAGCAGGGGGCATAAAATCAATCGCATCAGATATTAAGGCGTACCTTGACCTACCTCTAACCGCAATGAAAGATCTCTCAAAAATTTCCGGGGTTCTGCTCCAAGAATTTGGGACCGGGCTGCCACCGAATAGTCCAGAGTTGCGGCCATGTTAGCACTCCGACGCCAAGTCAAGCATCATTCATAAACGATGTCGCAACGTGACAAGAGCGTCGACTGCCAAGTCCGCTTCTATCTTCGATATAAGGCTCCTGCATAATTTCGAAGTGTCAGAAATAGACGGACCAGAAATGTAGTTCTGAATGTTTCGATTCTTAAGAATATGATTCACACTTCACAAGGCGACTTCAAGCGCCCGGATTCTGGTGTTCTGAAGTATGTGATGATTTCTTTACGCAAATAAAGACAGTAGCTAATCCGCATGTGTGCAAAAGGGGAAGTGATCTTGCATGCAATGATCCGAGTAATCAGGGGTATTTTGGTGAAGGTGACGCAGCAGGTGGGTATCTCAACACAGAAACAAAGAAATTCGCAAGTCCTCAACCTCGATGGGACATCCTCCGGAATGTGTGAATCCATGGGGAGTGCAAGTCATGCTGTGATGTACGACAAGAGAAGGGAGACTGAAGGAGCCTGGAGCAACGAAGGCTCGGAGGAAATTCGTCTGGCTTCTTGCGAGAATGTACTTCCCTTATCCCAAACTTGTAGGAATTAGATGTCCGAAATGCTCGGATGCATCGAGTAATCACTGGGGCATGTCGATGTAGTGGTGCATTGTAGATGGCGTCCACATGTCCTGTAGATCAACGTTGGAGTTCGTCGGTGCTATCTTCGAGATCCATCGCATCCTGCTTGCTATGTTGTTGAACTTGAGGGTGTTGATGGGAGTTCGGCATCATGGCGTCGTGGCTTCCAGGCAGGCTGCCGTTCTGTTGATCGTTTCCGCGTGAAGGAGTGCGAGAAGCTGACTTGACGGCGTACCAGCGGTCTGGTTGGCCATGGTTGCCTGAAGGACTAAACATGATAGGTTCGTCATCGTCGTTCTTTTTACCCTTACGATAGTAGTTGAATCGATTTGCTGGCATGTCTTGGCTCGGAGTCTCTTGAATCTCGGCATCATTCATATAAGTATTGCCATTGCCAGGAGTTTTGGGCGGGTCGGTGTTGTTGACTTGGTCGCTCATGTAGCCGTGTCTGGGTGATGATTCTTGGACACCGTTCTCACCATTCTGGCTAGCGACAGACTTTGGAGTTGGAGCAGTTTGTAACTCGTCTTCCAACATAGCGTCTTGTTCTTCCTGCTCCTGCTCTCGTGCCTCCTCTTCAGCCTCAGCAGCTTCAGCTTTGGCTTTGTCGATCTCCTCCAACTCCGGCCAGTCCTGGTATAGCTTCCACTTGATGTACTCGTCGAACTCGCCAGCATTATGTTTGCGGAAAGCTTCTCGAGCTTGGCGTTGCCATTCAGGATCGTG